CGTTATTTTTTCTCTGAGCGACGCGAGTAATATGCTCGTTGGAGCGCGAAACCTTCTCTCCGTGGCAAAAACTCCCTCGGCAGCAAATCGTCCCTCGCGGCCGCATATTACTCGCGTCGCTCAGAGAAAAAATAACGCCGACGCCCAACAAGACTGCGAAGGAGGCTACTAAAGACCCCCAAACCCACAGATTTTGGCATGCTATGGAGGCTATGTTTCACGATTCTTGGGAAGGGGGTGGGGTGCGTTGGTGTAGATCTTGCCCTAGCAAAATGATAAGACACACACTGTACCTCTAGCCCATGTGGGGAAGGACATGGGTAACAAACGTTCTTTCTGTGTGGTTAGGATTTGGGCTAACTTACGATTACAGTTACGATTACAGTTACGATTACAGTTACGATTACAGTTACGATTACAGTTACGATTACAGTTACGATTACGGTTAAGTTACAAATCCCTAGACTCTCACTCTAAGGAACAAGTTACTAGACTCTCACTCTAAGTAACGCCAAAGCCATCAGGTCGATTTATATTTGATGTAATTTTATTGACTAACTGCGGTATAAGATACAAAGTAATGCAACATATAACGGAACTACAGATCCAAAGTTAAACCAAGTACTAAGTGAGCAAATATAACGAAAGCAAATACCTGTACAGAAGATGGGAAGCTTGGAAACTACTTAAAGCCCCTATGTAACAGGGAAAATAGACTTAATCTGTTGTACTTAATCTGAAGATTGTCGGTTGTGCTCATAAATTTTAGCAATCGCGTCCACCAGCGCGCGCTCGTTTTTAACTCGGCGCGCCAAACATCTTGGGTTTCCTTGATCTCGGCAAATCTGGGTGATGACGTCACGTGACGTCACAGTAGGAACGCCCACCCGCCGACGGGTCAGAGGAGAGGTCGCCCAAAATGGCGGAAGCCATGGAAGTTGGTGGAGAGCTCGAGTGGGGCGACGCGTACGGCGTTGGGGGCGTTCAACCTTACCAGTTTGAGCCCGAGGCGGCGGAGGGAGAAGATGGGGATCCAGAGGCACCAGATCGCGGGAATCAGGACCGCCGTTCAAACCGAAACTGGTGTGTATACGCTGAGCTCGCTGAGCCGCCCGTTGCGTCCTTCAGTTCCAAATATAACGCAAGGTTATATAGTTGTTTTGTACGCGATGAAGGTACTGTGTCACACTGTTTTATGTGCTACTTGGTCTGCAAGGAACTAAAAGTTATGTCACGGATTAATTGTTCCGAATAATTCTGAGGGCTCAGCGTACGAGCAGTTCGGCGTTGTGACGTTTTATGGTTCGTGAAGGGGGAGGGGGGCTCGGTGGTATTCTGTGATAAATTTTTTTTGTCGCGTCGACGCAGAAGTAAACGCTACGAAAAAAAACAGGCTATTCGTCAGCTACGCACAGAAACTTTATTCATGAATGTTCATGAATGAACTATAAATCTTTATTGTTCAAGTAGTTTATTTGGCACAAATTGTGCAGAAAAAGTCAAGTTGCATACATTTTCCTCTCATCATCCAAACAGCACGTTGTAAACATTAGATTTAGAACAGATTTCTTTGCGATAAACTTTCGACAGCACGTAAATACATGTATCCTAAACCAGTTTTCTTATGTGTATCATATTTTGAATAGTTGTTAAATAAACTCTATTTGCCAGAATTTTGTTGTCTTTAATTTTGTGCTGTTTGTGATAAATATATCCACAGAAGTGTGTGTGTGTTTACCAGTATGTGTGGTTGAAGACATGTCTTTTTTTTAAACACGCTAAATTACTTATTACTAGTAGGATGGACATTTTGAATAAGTCATCATCATACCTACCTGCCTAAAAATTTATTTAATAACATTGGAAAGTTGAGAGTGATACAACTATTACCTATATGGTATATGTATCACATAATTCTATATAACATTTCAGGTGCAGATGTGATAATTGCCGTATAATGGCAACCACAACAGAATGTGTCTGTTGTCAAGAACACGAACAAATTAGGAACACTATGGAGGGGGTGTCTCCAGCCCCCAAGTGCATAACCATGCACCCTGGCTTCTCATCAGTCTGTCTAGACATCTGGGCACTACAGTGTGCTTACTACCAGTACAGGCAAGAGTATGGGCCTAGTCAAGATCCAACCCATGAGTAAGCTACCTAGCGATATGCACGTTCTCTGTTTCCAACTAATAAATTAACATTAAATGTTGATTGCAGACATACTAGTATCTGTATGAGCATTACTTCAGCAGTACAAGTTTACTGAGGGTATGTATCTTATGACCACTCAATTTAAATTTAGTACCAGCAGTCACTGTTCAATCACGGTGGAAATATTTT